TAAAGGCAATCGAGCTAAGAAGCCTTTTGTGTAAAGGGCGGCAGATAAGATGGAAGCGGCCCGGCACTTGCGACAGTAAACGCCACCGCCTCTCGCGATGGGAATCGGCGATGCCAGTCGAGGGCCGCCAGCTGTCCGCGCGAGACGGGGAAGCGCCCCCGTACGCGTCGTGCAGCGGGGGATGAGTGTTCATAATCCACACTCGAGCTGGGAGAAAAGAGTCGCTTGAGACCACGATCACTTTTTTTGTGGTTAATCGCTCGGGCCCCGTTACAAATGATAGCCGCCCCAGACATCCTATCCATACCGAAGGCAGGCAACCTCCCCCCCCCCCCCACACACACACTCAAGCCACGCTCAGCGTGACCACGGTTTGATGATGTCACCAAGCCCGGCCGATTACCTCCCGTCCAGCGGCACACTTGGGAATAAAGATGATACTTTTTCCATCCCCGCACGCCCCCCTCCCCAACATTATTTGTGTTAGAACAGATCATCGGTCGCGGTATCGATTGCTGTACTTCGCTCATCGGATATTTCAGCTCTTGAATCAATACCCGCGTGATAAATTCACGGCGCTCTTGCGGTGCCAACCGCTGCCGCTCTGAAATATCACGCGGCAACCGATGACGTTACATGGAACATGTCAATCCACTGATGGATGAAGGGCCTCCCCAAGACGTGTTGGTGACGGAGCGGTCGTATTTTACTCTTTGGATGTAGACAGCAGGAGGCAGTACAGCAAAATCCAATTGTTCGACCAATCAATACGCCTGATTAGCCAGGAAATTCCTATCGAGTCTCATGACTGGCTTTTTCAGCAGGTTTCCTGCCAAGTTTCCCCAGTAGGGTGTTGTCCTGTATTATCCCCGGCATCACTAAACTTGCAACGTGGTGAAATATGGTCAAATCCCCCTGCCCCCCTGCCACTTCACGTGACCTGCATGTCATGGGGATGCCTTAAATCCATTCAACCACACAGGCTCGCGAGTTTGATTAAAACAAAAACTAGTTTTTTTGTTATGGGGAATATATCAGCCTGGATGTGACTGAAGGGTTCACGTGAATCCATTCGATGCGACATGTACGAATCGAAAAACGCTTCGAGGCGCGTGTCGTGAGCCGATACTGAATCGATAGTAAAATCCTCCTTGTTTATACAACAGCAGCTGTACTTAAGCAACAGCAGCACGTACACACACATACGTGATAATGAACACATTGGATCCGCACGTATTTGCTGTACATACTCCTACATACTCCTACTTTAATTACTGTTCCGAACCAACTAAACGTCCCTCCCTAAAATCCTCCGCTGCAAAACCTCCCAGATTCTATGGTCTTCCCAAGATCCATAAAGAAGGTACCCCACTACGACCCATCGTGTCAACTCCCATACCTACAAGCTGGGCCGTTTTCTGTCAGATACTCTGCTTCCCTTTACTGGCAAGACCACCTCAGCAGTACTTAACTCAACCCAATTGGTGTCTATGGTTAAGGACATTGTACTGTCTCCTGACGATATCCTCGTCAGCTTTGATGTTGTCTCTCTGTTCACCAAGGTCCCAGTACCTGATACCATTACAATAATCGAAGATCTGGTCCAACATGGACTTGACCCCGATGTACCTGCGTTGGTTAAGCACTGCCTCACTAACACCTACTTTACTTGGAATGGCACCTTTTACAAACAAAACGAGGGTACACCCATGGGCTCCCCCGTATCACCAGTGATAGCCAATGTTTTCATGGAGAAATTTGAATCAGACGCCATCCAGACATCCACCCTCAGTCCTTCCCTGTGGAAGAGATATGTGGATGCTACTTTCGTCATTTGGCCACATGGCCTCCCAGCTTTGAACTTTTTCCTAGACCACATCAATTCCAGACACCCTTCCATCAAATTCACCATGGAAGTGGAGAAAGATGGCAAGCTGCCATTCTTGGATGTTCTGTTTGAGAGAAGGTCTGATGGCTCTTTGGGACATTCTGTTTACAGGAAGCCCACCCACACAGACTCCTACTTGAAACCTGATTCCCACCACCACCCGACTCAGAAGAATTCTCTCATCAAAACGTTATACCAAAGGGCTCATTGCATTTCTGACCAACACCATCTGACCAGTGAATTAAAACATGTACATCTGGCCCTCAACATGAACGGTTACTCTGACCGTACCATCCGCCAAGCTGTTTCTCCCACCATACAGAAACAACCACTAGACACTCCGATCAAAATCATCACGTTACCATACATAGCAGGCGTTACTAAAAAGATTTCCAAAATTCTAAACAAACACAGGATCCAGGTCCGGTTCAACACAGTACACAAAATCCGTGATCTGATCCCATCCGTAAAGGATGTTATCCCTGACTTACAGTACCCCGGTGTTTACAAATTGAGTTGTACCTGCGGTGACTGCTATATCGGGGAGACGAAGCGACATATCTCTGACCGAATTCGTGAGCACAAATCAGATTTGAGACACGGCAGAACGAATTCTTCTGCAGTGACTGATCACTGTTACAACGCTGTGGGTGATCATGATATTGTTTTCTCCGATACTAAGGTACTCTGCAAACCTACCGGTTATTATCAGAGATTTGTCCACGAGGCCATCCAGATTTACAAACACAGACACAACTTCAACCGAGAGGATGGTTTCAAATTGAGCAACCACTGGAAAGATGTTATAAATCAAGCCTTTTAATTGTACAGCCATTTCCATCTCTCAGCGGTTGTATGTCAAACTTTAGCTACCTTATAATTTTACAGCCATTTCTAATGCTTTATAAAAAAAATGAAGCTGTACTTGCACCCTTGCAGCGCGCCATCCCTTTCCTCCATCCCCCGGCAGCATAACAAAGGGGTTTTACCCGTTGCCGCACATGAGGCACCTCCGCTCCTCCAAGCCCCCTGCGTCGTGTCAAGGGGCGGCTTGGCTCAGCCCCCCCCCACCCACATCCCGGTCTGACTCCTCCCCCCCCCCCCACACTTGACCTGTATATAGACCCGGTCTCTGAGCTGTCCACTTGACACTGATGTTTGCTGTGTCTGTTCCACCTGAAGAAGGAGACTTGTGTTGCCTCCGAAACGTCGTGATTTAATTGTTTTATTTTATTTTACCTACGTGACTTTACCGAATAAAACCAAATAGTATGAATCCTTGCAGTCACGAAAGCTTCAAATCTAGAATTTGCTGGTATTTTTTTTATTGGAAGGTTTGAACCATGACGCCGGCACACAAAACGGCCTACTCTTGCGAATGACACTACTGGATCTTTAACGTCCACTGTCAAGCAGACGACGCATATCTCTACAGTTAATACAGCCGCAGCATTAACCAGGGCGGCCACTGGAGCTATGCGGCGAACGCGCTGCCGTTAGGCCACGTCACCTCTCCACGTCACAGTTGGCCCAAGAACACGTCACATAATGTTTTACCTCCTTGCGTGGAGAGGTGCAACGCTTTAAAGTTACATCGAATGAGAGGAAGATGAACACGTGGATCAGAGGGCAATATGCAAGGTAGAGACTTAACATTTATCGTTAAAAAGTAATTGAGCTTGAGAAAGATACGTGCCAAGAGGGTATGATGATGATGATGGCCTGTTGTCCAGACTGACGAATGGCAACCTAACCATGATGCACGACTGGCTGCATCTCGCTGAATAGCAATACGAATGGGGCAAGTATAGCATGTAAGTATTGCGAAACATCAGTTTGAATCCATCATCTTGCAGTCCTGCTGTACAAAATATGTTCACCCAGGTCACTGAATGTTATCATTTATTTAGTACACATTATGCTACATGCAACTTATAGCACAACAACGCACAAAAAAAGATTGTATATTCATTCGTTTGCCTTCCCGTGCAATGCGTTATTGGCAAAGCTATTATATTAAAAAAATAACCCTTATTTTGCAGTTTACTACAAATTTTATATTTACCTGTCTATCACGTGAAGCCTTTCTTGCACAACCCCATCCCCCAACTCAAATCGCGACCCTTCTACATGCTAGAAATTAACCGAAAATGCATCCGCGATCTCCAATCTCATTGGAATCTCGGCAGCTACGCATGGCTGAGCATGGTCAAGTACGACATTTGAATTCGTAGGCACCAGGGCTTCGTGCCAGGTGTTGCAGCGGTCGGGTTACGAGGTGTGGTCGGGATGCGTCAGTGTTGGGGGTCATCCTGTAATCAAATCTCTGCATTGGCTACCAGTTAAATTTAGGGTACAATTTAAAGTATTGCTGCGAACATACAAGGCCGTTTACGGCTTTGCACTATTTTACATTCAACTGATACACCTGCACGGACCGTCACGACGTCTCCGATCCGCTGATTTACATCTGCTCCACGTGCCAAGAACTTGGCTCTGTACCTGGGGTGGCCGAGCCATGCGCTGCGCCAAGACTACGGAATGCCCTCCCCACAAGTGGTTAGACAGGCGAACTCACTCGCCCTGTTAACATTTCGCCACGGTGGACAAGGTAGCGAAATGTTAACTACCTCGTCTAGTGTACAGGAGGTCGTGGATTCGATCCCGAATCAGACGTCTGCTGTATATTTGTAGTTTGCATGTTCTCCCCGTGGTCGCGTGGATTTTTCTCCTGGTCCTCCGGTTTTCCCTTCCGCATTGAGAAACACACGTTCATAGTATTCGGCTGATCTACATTTCAACATGTGCTGCTTCATTGAGAGATAAATTGTGGCCAGGTCACTTGTGAAAAAGAGCTATATATCTAGGTGGGCCTTACCTGGTAAAATAAAAATAAAATGTCTCATTAAATTGAATTTCCCTAACACCCCCATTCAGCAATCTCCAGATACAGCATCCACAGTCTTGGGAGCTCAGTGAGACTTTCCTGGGTATATTAAAAAAAAACTGAACGACCTCCGCTAGAAATGTAACACGTACCTTGTTTTTAACCCACGGCACGTGTATCGAATCGCACGCGTAAGAATCGACGTGTTTCATGTCTCCCCCCCCCCCCCCCCCGTCATTGCTCCTGCCATGGTAGGGCAGTGGGCCCAGTGGCTCTCGTCCGTTCCCTAATCACGAGGGTGTAGTGGACTCAAGATGCCAATCGCGCGTTCTGTTGTTACATGCCCTCTCTCGCCCTCCCTTTCATGACCCCCCACTATGTCATTGGCGCTTGAAAAAATAAAATGATACGTAAAGAAAATGTTGACGTCTTTTAATTCATATGCCTCAATCACTACGATGTAAAATGTATCGAATTCGCTACGATGAAACTAGAACTGGTCGTTAAATCACAGGGGGCACGGGAATCGCTACCGCCATACCACTGATACATTGTCGAAATTCTAAATACGGTAAGTGCTCGCTTAACGCGTGTTCACACAACGCGCCTTCGCTATAGGACGGTCCTGCCATTAGGGAATAACTTTTTTTACAGAACGCAGAACGCGCCCGTTAAAATGCAGAGCGGGCCTGCTACCACGTAGTTTCTGAGCAATCGGCGGAATGACGCAGTCACGTGGCGGCGTACCCTCAGTTATTTGTCCCGCAATCTCACCGTGTGTGCGTGCATCGCAACTCGCCGATCTTTATCGTTGCATTAATTGTGGGAAAATGTATCTTCGCCGAACGCGTTTTTCGCTTAAAGCAAAGCATCGCTGAATCAGCAGTTCCACTGCTGGATTATTTTTTTCCGCCCGAGGACGACCGCTTGTGTTGCGATCGAAACGTCGTGATATATATTTGTTTTACCTACATGACTTTACCGAAAGAACCAAAGAGTACAAAGCAGCGCTCTAAGGAACGCATCTACCGCTTTAAACGAGGACTTACTGTAACATTCACGATTGCATCGCCCGTTTAACATTGTCTGTTAAACATTTTCTGTTGAACATCGTGGTTATTCGTAGGTTCACCTGGTGGCTCGCAGGAGTCACCTGAACCAAAAACATGCAACACACGCGAATGAATTTTTGCATTACAAGCGTAATAATCAAGAGTCGACGCCATATGTACACGTCACCTCAATAAACAAACCGTCCCACCACGTGCTCGGAGCACGACAATGGAATCGGGTCACGTGGGCTCGTCACACGTGCGGTGGGCTGACGTCGATGGCAGATTGTCCATTCTCATTCACATCCACCCTGCGTAAACACACGGAAGCCACACGACACACGCGCAATATAATTGCACACACACAATATAAGTACACACACACACAAGAGGCTCTTGTCTTCGGAGCTGAGCTATCAAAATATTTAGGTCACCAATTACCACGTTGATGATCGGTTTCAATTACTCGACTCGTCGGATAACACAAAATTCGCAGGCACGATTTTTGTCGGAGTTCTTGTAGCCGTTTGTAATCCGGATTTGGCAGAGCGTTGGGTCCTTCGTCTCGTGAACTTTCACAGTGCACTGCTGCGGGCATCTCTGTTTCATGGATGTCGAAGATCGCCGCAGTCGTGCATGGCAAGAGCTTAGGAGCAGAAACCCTCAAGCACGCAACCCAAGTCGGAAAATCACACGTGGGATTTCTATCATTGTTAGGCCGGGGGGGGGGGGGGTGGGAGGGGGTTTGCCTCTGCTCCCACGTGCTTCGCCGCACACGAAGCGATGAGCTGGACTTGTTGATGCCGCCGTCGGCATTAGCATTCGCATCAAAACACTGAGCGTGGCTAGTCAGGGGGGGGGGGGGTGGGTCCCGCCTTCAAAACGGTAGACTGTCGGGGCAGCCACCATTTTAAAGGGGCCCAATTAATTGACTACAAAAGGTAGTCGGTTATAATTTTTAGTCGAGGCATCTATTTAATTGACTGATCGTAAGAGCTCTGGGTGGCTTCAACAGCGAAACAAAATATTCTGAGCACGTTAAGATTGCATAATCGCCATTCCAGCGCATATAGTGAATAGCAGCTTACAGCACAATCTATACAGCATTAAGATTTCGATTTAAAGCTTTCGTGACTGCAAGGATTCATCTTCTTTGGTTCTTTCGGTAAAGTCACGTAGAATGAGAATGAAATAATAAATTAATAAAATAAAATAACACAATAAAATTCTCACGACGTTTCGGCCACAACACAAGCGGCCTTCTTCAGGTGAAAGGAATAGACCCGTCGGGACGACAGAGCTTCCATACGGGTCTGTTCCTTTCACCTGAAGAAGGCCGCTTGTGTTGTGGCCGAAACGTCGTGAGAATTTTATTGTGTTATTTTATTTGATTAATTTATTATTTCATTCCCGTTCTACGTGACTTTATCGAAAGAACCAAAGAAGCATTAAGGTTAATAACTGAATCGGTCAACATATTGAACCTGGCATTTCTCAAACGTGCCATAATTTCGCTCCTTCTGTTTTGTGGATCGGTTTTCTCAAATCGCAATCAGACTCGGTATGATCCATTTAGGTTCGAGTTGGATTCTATTCATTACCCAGTGGCGTCGCGTGGTTGACACGAGCGAGGAATTGGAACGAGACCCCCCCCCCCTCCTCTGCCTCATATCCAATTCCAGACGAGATGCGAGCGCGTACCCGGGTGATGTAGTCATTGCCGTATCGTGGCACCTCGCGTATTTTTTTGTATGCAGATGAACACCGAATTCCGCACAATGAGTTGCTCATCGACTTTGCAGTAGCAACGTCGTCACGCTGTTATCGTTACACGAGAAAGTAAAGAATGGGTGTATGCATCCAGTATTGTGTTGCGATGGCCTAGGCTTACTTTTTTAAGTTGTGTTGTGTGGAAAACAAGCACACAGCATGTTATGTGTACTACTGTATAGCTGCTGATATTATAACTTTGGTAATTGAGTTTTTATGTATTTTGTATTTATTGTGTCAGGAAATAAGAGACAAAAATGACCCGATATTTTTGCAAGACGGACGATGCCATTATAGTAGGCACCTTCCTCATCGCCCCAACCCCTAGGCAGCAAGTATCAGTGAAGATGACGCTGGTGATGATGATGATGATAGTGCTGCTGGTGATGATGATGCTCATGGTGATGATGATGATGGTGCTGCTGGTGATGATGATGATGATGGCGCCGCTGGTGATGATGATGGCGCTGCTGGTGATGATGATGATGCTATCGATGATGACAGTGGTCTAACCGAGCATTGGCTTTGCACCACCGCGGTAGCAGACTTGAGATGGACGTTCTTAGCGCGTTGCTGCAGGCGATGTTGATAGCTGGCGTGGTGATGGATGTGAGAGTCCGGAGGATGGTGATCGGGTTGAGGCCGTAGTTGGGGAAACGCGGGCAGAGATTGAACAGCAAGCACACCACCAAATAGATGTACGATGGGCTCCACAGTACCATGTCCACCATGGCCACTATGATGACCGAATACGAGCTCCGGGCGCCCGTGTCTCGTTCGTTGGGCTGTCTGCTCGCGCGCTTGGCGTGGCTTCTGGCGATCAGGCATAGCTTTACGTTCATGGCGCCCATGATCACGAACATGGCCATGTTGGTCAGCAGGGTCGAGATGACTTGGTAGGTGGTGGATGAGCTCTTGGGCCCGACGTTGATCAACACGATGGGCAGGACGGGCAAGAGCCAACACAGCGATACGGCGGCGAGCGTCTTGCGCCAGGTCACCCTTTGCACGTAGCTGAAGGGCGACTTGATCGCGTAGTAGCGGTCGAGTTGGGAGAAGAGCACGCACATGCAAGAGACGCCGACGAACGACGGCTGGATGAAGCACGTGTCGAGTTTGCCCGACGCGTCGTCGACGTCGAAGATGCCGGCGTAGAACCAGGACACGCCGCAGCAAAGGTCGCTCGTGCACGTGCTGAGCACGTACACGAAACGGTTCTGTTTGAGTGGAAGCCGCGCTTTCATCAGAGCCGCTATGCCCAAGGCGTTGAGAACGGTGGCCGAGGTCGCGACCGCAACGTGGAAAAGCAGCAAGAAGACGTGCCCGGCGGAGTTGAGCGGCGCGAAGAGCTGCTTGGTGATCATTGCTGCAAATTGGCAGCGAAGGGAACGAGACGGAGCGTGTCCGAGAAGAAGATGGAGCGATGAAGTCAGCTGGAGCGAGAGAGTTTGGCGGGGGGGGGGGGTGTTAGGTGAATTGTTACATCGCAGGAGGATCGTGAGAGACGGCGGCTGCTTCGGGGAAGACTTCATCCAATGGTGGAATTGACCGAGGCCAATGATGTTGAACGGTTCAGGTCTCTTCATGAGGAACGCGTCTTATACTGTGTGTGCATATATAAGGGGAGAGAGAGAGCTGAGCTTCTGAAAGCGAGCCATTCAGATGGTCGATAGTCCCACCGGTGGCCATTAAACGCACAGCGTGAGTCGTTAGAGCAATTAGTGATGAACCTAGCATCGCGCTTAATTAAACGACCCGTCCCGTTAATTTACTACTCATATAATGAATGAATTAATCTCGCTTTGCGAAACGAGGCGCAAGGAATTGAATAAACACGCGGGTGCCCATTGCGGGATTCGGGGATCGTGGGTGGTCACGGTGCAATGTCTTGGAATTGATTTCCATAATTGGTTGCACAAATTAGCAAGCGACACAGAGCCGTTTTATTATAATCGCGACGACCGCACAAATTGACAGCATTCAATATAAACGATCACAAATGATGACGTGGCGAACACATTAATTGGCTGCTTAAACGCTCCTCCTAATGCACCAAGCATAGCGTCGTGTGCCGCGTTTGTTTTCCAGGTGGGCACTTCAATTTGAGTTCGTCTTATTCGTCTTCGTATTTGCTGATGTTGATGTAGAACAAGAAAAACAACAACAACAACTATCATTTTACATTGAGGTAGTTGAGTCAGATAATTGCCTCGGAAGCAGCGGAGTGGATCGATATCACTGTGACGATCGATATCACTGTGACGATCGATATCACTGTGACGATCGATATCACTGTGACGATCGATATCACTGTGACGATGCCTCCATGGCATTTGTGAATCAGGCAATTGAGTCGTTCAGAATCAGAATATGCATTTATACTGGAGGAATCCGATGAGCTATAAAGCTCTTCCTCACAGACGTCCAGGAGGGTCCATTCTGGAGGATCACAGTCGCCGTGCACTGACAGGAGAGAGTTTTTTTTTAATTTCCATCTCTGCATCAGGTATCCGCAATCAGCTGCCATGGTGTGTGCAGTGGATGCAGTGTAAGGTTGCACCCATAAGCTTCGCGTAAGCCAGTGAGTGGATCTTCTGCCCTCGGGTCTTGTTATATGAACGCCATGGCTAAAAACCATTCGAATTGCGAGCACACCTCGTCTGATTGTGCAAGGCAAGCAGGGCTTGAGCCTGGACAGTGCTTGGGTGGGTGACCATTATGTGCTGAAGGAGCCCAAAGTGAACCCCCCCCCCCCCCCCAGATATGGGGGTAAAAAGTTCATCCAACAGGTTTAAAAAAATTGTCGCCTACAGGCATATATGCCTACACAAAATACATTTATGCCTACACACCATACAGACAGTAGAGTCAGTAGTACCTGCACACATGGGGGGGGGGGGGGGGGGGGGCAGAGGGCATCAGTGGGGGCGATGTGCAAAGCGCTGAGAAGCCCTCCCTAGGACCCCTGCGGAGGGCAGGAGGGCTTATCAAAACATGGAAGTTATAACATTGTCAGCAGAAGGCAGTGCAGAAGAGTACATTGCTGGGCAACAGCATCACTCCAACGTGCATACTCATATACCAACCAGGCTCTGACCAGTGTGGTGAAATATGGTCAATTTACCCCGAAACGCCTTTCGTATGTGAAATAATTGTATAACTTTGTTGCTATCGGACACAAGTTTGTTAGATGCTTCCAGAAAGCCGTGGGGCTGGTGGGCTGTGTAAAATATCAGAATCAGAATCTTTATTTAGACTGCAGGAGGAATCCGAAGAGATATGAAGCTCTTTTTTGTTAGTTTACAGATGCCAATTACGGGCGGGTCGACAAGTCACAACAAACAATCACAAAAACACGATAGGAGTGCACAATAGAGAGAAATAAAAGTAAGCAAGTAATAAAATGTTAATAAATTATTCCTTCATTAATTTTATAAGTCCGATTTATCAAGCTTGGGCAAGGCGGCAAAAAAAAATTATAAGCTGGCCCCACACCACACCAGGGTAAACACACAGTCCCTCAATAAAATATACATATTATAAGGTCGACGTATTATCTGCTTTATATATAACTTGTACGTTCCAGTGCGACTTATAATCCGGAATGTGTGTATGTTGGCACAGTAGGGGGCACAGGTGGTGCATCGTCGGCCACTCATCTCGGTCAGTCGACACATGGCACCTGCTGGTTCTGTCCCGTGACCTCTTGACACTTCACGTGGCCTCAACGTGCACCTAGCCTGGCACAAAGCGCCGTGGTGACGTCACCGCCACTTCGTGGCGAATGGCGGGAGTGATAGAAAAAAACCCATTCTTACTTTCTGGGTGTGTCTTATAATCCAGTCATTCGTCATCGTGAAATATCGACGACACCGGTGACTTCATATTCTTAGCTCTTTCGGTAAAGTCACGTTGAAGGGAAACAATAAAATAATAAAATATATGTAAAACAATAAAAATTATCTCGACGTTTCGACCATAACGCAAACGGTCATCATCAGGTGTGAAAAACCAACGGCAAGAAACATTTGAAAGAAGTGGTGGTTTGCATTTATTTATGTTTAAACGGTGTTTGTATTTATTTATTTATAATTTAAAAAAACGTTAGAAACCACGGGCAGCGATTTGGCAGTTTGTTTAGAAGGACGAGTCCATCTATGTTCTGAAAAGAGGAGGGGGGAGACGAAAAAAGAATGTATGCTGTCTGAAAGCCACCGTAAGCGCGAACAATCAATTAAGACCTGAAATGGTTTATCAAATCCTTCCAATGATTGCTAAGCCAGAATCCATCTTCTCGGTTGAAATTGTCTCTGTGCTTGTATATGTGGATAGCCTCATGAACGAATCTCTCATGGTAGCCAGATGGCTTACAAAGAACCTCTGTCTTGGAGAAGTCAAGGTCATGTGAGCCTACTGAATTATAACAATGATCTGCCACGGCCGAGGTGTTGGTCCTACGGTGTTTAAGGTCTGCTTTGTGTTCACGAATGCGGTTTGAGACATGGCGTTTGGTTTCTCCAATGTAACTACTACCACAGAGGCAATTTAGTTTGTAGACACCAGGGTACTGTATGTCCGGAATCACATCTTTTGCAGATGGAACCAGATCACGGATTTTATGTAATGTGTTGAAACGGGCCTGGATCTTGTGTTTATTCAAAATTTTGGAGATCTTTTTTGTGATCCCCGCAATGTAGGGTAAAGTGATGGTTTTGAAAGGCTCCTCAAGAGGGTCCTTCTTCATGGTTTGAGTGATAGCTTTGCAGATTGTATAGTCGGAGTAACCATTAGCCTTAAGAGCTTGGTGTACGTGCTTGAGTTCAATGCCTATGTGTTCCTGGTCGGATATGCATTGGGCTCTATGGTACAGAGTCTTGATGAGAGAATTCTTCTGTGATGGATGGTGGTGGGAATCCGGTTTCAGATAAGCATCCGTATGGGTAGCTTTCCTGTAGATAGAGTGGCTCATTGAACCATCAGGTCTCTTTTTTATTAGGACATCCAAAAAGGTAGCTTGCCATCTTTTTAGACTTCCATAGTAAATCTGATGGCTGGGTGTATAGAATTGATGTGGTCGAAGAATTGGTCTAGAGCAGGCCGGCCATGTGGCCAGATGACAAAAGTGGCATCCACGTACCTCTTCCATAAGGTTGGGCGCAGAGTGGCAGTCTGGATGGCGTCAGTCTCAAATTTCTCCATGAAAATGTTAGCTATAACCGGAGATAGGGGGGAGCCCATTGGGGTGCCCTCAGTTTGTTTATAGAAAGTTCCATTCCAAGTGAAGTATGTATTGGTTAAACAGTGTCTCACCAGGGGGGGTACCTCAGTGTTTAGTCCTTGATGAACCAAGTCTTCAATGATTGCGATGGTGTCAGGTACAGGAACTTTGGTGAATAAGGAAACTACATCAAAACTGATAAGCAGGTCGTCTGGGGACAGGGAAATACCCTTGATTGTCGATACCAGATGAGTAGAATTTTGTACCGCAGAGGTGGTTTTTCCAGTGAAAGGACGCAGGATTTCAGACAAAAAACGTGCCAGTTTGTAGGTGGGGGAGTTGATAGTAGAGACGATGGGACGAAGGGGTGTATCTACTTTATGTATTTTTGGTAAACCGTATAATCTTGGTGGCCTGGCAGCAGAAGGTTTCAACGAAAACTGTTTAGATTGATCAATTAATGCGATTGAATCAGAAATTATTTTGTTGGTTTGTGTGACGAGGCTGTTGGTGGGATCTCTTTTTATTTTTGCATAGCTACCATCGTCGAGTAATTCTTTAATTTTGTTGTTATATTCTATTTTATCCATGATGACAGTAGCATTGACCTTGTCAGCTGAGAGGACTACAATGTCATCCCTCTTTTTTAATTTATATAATTCAAAACGCTCATCTTTGCTGAGGTTGCTAGCTGACATCTTAGCGTTTTTGAGGGTTGCAGCGATTTCAGATCTTGCTACGTCTGCAGCGATGTGACCCAGGCCCCTGAGAGCAACGTCTACTTGGGCAATGATATCATTAACTGGTATGTGTTTAGGTGTGACTGCAAAGTTTAGACCTTTAGCTAAAACGGATTTCAGACCATCGGAAATAGAAACTGTTACTGCGATTAATTACGACTTTGTTAACGGCTAGCTTTTTGGTGTGTGGGTCCGGTCTTTTGTTGAAGAGGAGGTTAAATTTGTAAATCAGGTTGTCCTTACATTTGGTCGACATAGTAGCAGCTGAAGAGGCAGTCATATTGTCTACATGTTCCCAATCCGATGTGGAATATGAATTACTGCAGTCACGAAAGCTTTAAACCGGTGACTTCATTCATGCGATGCGGGTGACGTCACCGCCAGATGAATGCGGGGGGCGGGGCGGCGGCAGGGGCGGGGCGTGTGTCTAAATAAATAACTCGCGACCTGCGATTTACATTTCCCAGCGCGGATAGTCGCGCGGCTCCCCCCCCCCCCACCATACTGGCCAATCGGCAAACGTTCGCCGCAACGCTCCAGCCAATCGCCGCGCAACTCGTCTCGCCCCACGGCGACCAATCGGCGCGGGTCCTTGCACCGGTCTATGTTAGGGAATTGGAAGACGCCCCCCCCCCCACACTTACCCCCCCCCTACTGCTCGAGTAGTGTCGCGTCGCTTCCTGGATACAGCGCCCGGCTCAATTTTCTATTATCGGATTTAATTCGCACTCAGCGACGCAGTTTCGACCATCGAAGTAACTTTATTTCGCCTGGAACGGTGAGTGCGACGGTGGAGTCGAGCGAGCGGAGACGCGGGGAGGGTTTGACGCGCGGCCCACCTCTAGGTCGACTCGGCCTTAAAACAACACGGTTTTTTTTTAGTTTTCTCTCAACTGGACCGGGCGCTCTTGCTGGGGGTGGGAGGAGGTGGTTTTTGCTTCGGTTTAAGTCGTCGAGGTCGCCGCTGGATTGTGAGACAAAGGCGGCCTGGGTTCGTGGTGCTAAATCACACGTGTGTGTATGTGTGTGTCCTAGCAGCCCCTAGGGGAGCGGTAGTGTCGTGGCTAGCGCCACGAACCCTGACGATCCCGGGTTCCAATTCGCGCTCACGACCAACCACCCGAGTGACGATTATCTCAACCG